AAGGACTGCCTGTACTGTTTTATTTGTACACTGCCAAGAGGGAGATGGGAAGATTTAAAATTTGATTAAAAACAAACTTAGCAAGTCCTTTTATCTTAGAATAAAATCCTGAAGTTCTGAATCCAGGTCACTAAGTATTCTGGAAGGAAGGATATCAACTTTAAGCTTGAATCTTGCTTTTTCCTAATTGCCAGGGAGAAGACATGTACACTTTTAGGAGAAGACTGAACTTTAATAGGATTAAAGTTTTGTCTTTTCTTAATGTTCTAGCTACTTTCCATTTGGCAACTGGCTTTCTTTCTTTCTTTCTTTCTTTCTTTCTTTCTTTCTTTCTTTCTTTTAGAAAAGGTCTTTTTGATTAGTCTTATCATTGGTCAGCAACCCCAGTCTCTTGAAGCATTAATTTTCCTGGTATCATGTCAACAAATCTGGACTACTTGTATATCCTCCTGCATGACAACTTGCTCTTCCGTCCATCTCCTTTATTTCTCCTGTCTTCCATTTTTTTGTATACACATACTACCTTCCTCTACTGTCCCATTTTTACACCATATGTTTTGTAACTTTTTTTAAAAAAAAATTTGATTTATATGCCGCCCTTCTCCGGAGACTCAGGGCGGCTTACAATGCGTTAAGCAATAGCCTTCATACTTTTGTATATTTATACAAAGTCAGCTTATTGCCCCCACAAACTGGGTCCTCAATTTACCTACCTTAGAAAGGATGGAAGGCTGAGTCAACCTTGAGCCTGGCAAGATTCGAATTTACTAATTGCAGACAGCTGGAGTTAAATTACAATGCATCAGTCTGCTGAGCTATCCAGGCTCCTGTTTCAACGTAACTGTTCCTGTAACTGTTTCAACGGCTCCTATTTAAGGAACTCCTACCTACCTTGGCCTTCTTTCCCTATGGGTTTCTCCTGCCACGGAATTCTTACTGTTCTTTTGGAGTTTATTAAAAAAAAAAAAAGTGGTTTCTCGAAACCCAAAACATGAATTTGGTTACATTCAGCTTAAGTTTCCCATCACACTTAAGAATTCCAACAGGATCACTTTCTCCCCAACTCTCACTTTGTCCGCTAAATCATCTTTTCTGGAAACTTTGACCAAGTGTTCCTATTCCCACTATTTTAATTTTAAAAAAACCAACCCAGCAAAAACAGCTTTCAACTCACAAGCATCTCCACGTTGCATAAAAATAAAAGATGGTCAACATGTGCCCTCTTTTACAAAGAAGCAGAAATTGAGAGAAATCTCATTCTGAGCTTTTCAAAGCAATCCATTTGATGCAGCATAGCTGCCTGTTAGTCATTTGTTGTGTATGTGTGTGTGTGGGGGGGTGTAATCCAGATGTTCTTTGTCTGAATTGTATTGGATCACATTTTTCCAAACTCACCACAATGTTTTGTCACTGAGATGATACAGCTTTCTTCCCATGCCAGCATCTAGGCACAATGACCATGACTCGAATGTACGGTAGTTACACGTCATAGATACCAAGTGAACCTTGTGGGGGCATTATCCCACCTTCTCACGCTTGTCTGTGTAGTTTCTTAACTGCAGTATGTTCTAATTGTACTGTCTGAAGTGCATCAGGAAAAAAGCATCAAAACGTACAAGAAAAAAGAAAGAAAGAAAAATATACTGTTATATGGATTATTGAAGAGAATCGATTGACTGAATTTATATGCCCCCATCTCACTTCCATGTGTCCCTGAGCAAAGTGCAGTCATTTAGAATTCAAATTAACAATCACAAAATTTAACCGTTAATACCAAAGAAAAACAGTTAAAAACTGAACTAAAAAAGAGAGGGGAGGATATAATTTAAATGCATACACAGTGCAATCACTTAACATTCTTCCAATATCATAATTCTGTTCTGAAATTACTGACCTAAACCTCTTCTGCTCTCTTCATCATTTGGAAAATTCTAGGTTTTAAACTACAGATTTGGATATTATGTCATCCAACTATGAACCACAATTAGTAAGATTATTTCCTGTACAATAATAGCCCCTGTACTTAAGTGCTTCGTGCTTATGCTTTGATTTCACACATTTTAGTTCTCTGTTTTAATTATTTAAAGTCTATAGCCATTAAAATGGAAGTATTTAGATAACAAACATTTTACTTACATATAGAGGCTAGGATCCAGAAAAGCCAAATAGTTACAAAGCAAGCAGAGAAAACACCAGAGAAAACTATTAATTCCAGCAATGACATGTGTCCTTGGAATTCAAAACACAAACTGTGGCATTTGTTTTAAAATTTAGCTAACTTCTAATGTCTTGAGAAATCAAGAAAATAATAAAGTTGTCAACTTCTGCCCTTTCCTTAAGCTGAATGTACTTCAGAGTAGAATTCTGACACTTTTTTTTTTATTAAATATGTTGAACCACTCAACTCAAATGACTATGTAGCTCACAATAAAAACAGAAAGTATCTATATTTTTAAAAGTTGTGATCCAGTATCACCACAACTGCAACAATATAAATGGATGATATCCAGTCTGCTCAATAAAGTCTAGTTGCCTATTCCCATCACTCTGAACATCAGTGGTGAAATTCAATTTTTTTTTACTACCGGTTCTGTGGGCATGGCTTGGTGGGCATGGCAGGGGAAGGATACTGCAAAATCTCCATTCCCACCCCACTCCAGGGGAAGGATACTGCAAAATCCCCATTTCCTTACTGTTGCTAAGAAAACTTTATGGAGAGATCCATGAAGTTCTCAGAAGTTGAGTTCAGATTGAGGGAAATGATAATTGGGGGTAATGCATAGCTCTCATGATTAGTAGCTAGTATGAAAGTTAGTTCTCACCCAGTCAAAAATAAACTATGATAACTGATCCGTTGATTGCACAAATAAAGGACAGATAGAAACAACATGATCTTGTTGCCAAGTAGTTTCCTAGTCCAAGAAGGAGAAGAACATGCAAGATAGTTTGAATACTGTTCCTTATAGAGAGAGGTTGTTTTTGAATCGTAGCAATTGTTGAAATTCTTTGGTTATTGTTTCTATTACTTTTTCCAATACATATGATTCATCTGTCATTGGACAACTGTTGAGAGACAAATTTATGGAGAATAACATAAGAGTGTTTATAGAGTAATACCACATTTTAAAGCCATCTGTGTTAATGGCCATGGCTTATATATCTTCTAGAAGCAAATTCCATAGTTTAAGCATGAGTTGCCTGAAGAAATATTTCTTGGCAAAAAGAATGAAGTGGTATGTTCCTTCCCCTCCTTTTTCCAGTATGTTTTTCCCCCCAACTCTAGTCTTGAGATTTCTCATAGTCCTTTTCTCCAAGTAGGGCTGACCCTGTTTAGTTTTGTTGAGATCAGCCACACCTAGTTAGGTACTATCATCAGTTGTGATTCTGCCCCATTTTAGTGCTCTCCCAATGTTGATAAAAAAATATTAATCCAGAATTCCTTTGCATTCTATCTGGTGGTTGAAAGAAAAAATCTTAACTAGAAAGGCTGGTATACCCTAAATGCCAGGGTTGTCAAACTCAATTTCATTGAGGGCCGCATCAGGGTTGTGTTTGACCTTGGGCGGCTGGGGGGGCGGGGCATGGCCAGGGTGGGTGTGGCCCAGTGGTGGGTTCCTCCCGGTTCGGCCCGGTTCTCCCGAGCCGGTAGCGGTGACGATATGACATCACCGAACCGGTTCTGCCCTCCCGCACCACACCGCCCCCCCACCCCCTGCGTTATTCTTACCTTTTATTTGGCCCCACCCCCAATCTATTGCTGCCTCCTGAGTCCCAGCTGATGGCTAGACGGAAAAAAACTGTTTAAACTCTTGCCGCGGGGCTTCAAAGGGCCGCCCTACAGCTAATCAGTGTTAAAAGAAAACAAATGAGTAGACCAGTGCCTGCAAAAATACATGAGTAGATCAATGCCTGCAAAAATAAATGAAATAAAAAATAAAAATAAAATAAAAATAAAAAAGCCTGGTAGACCAGTACCTCTGCTAAATCCTAAATAATTGTCACATGACCATCAAGCCATGCCCACAAAATAAGCCACGCCCACAGAACCGGTAGTAAAAATTTTTAGAACCAATCCCTGGTGTGGCCAGCTTGATGTCACTCATCTTGGTGTGCCTGTGGTGGCCCGAGCTCTCTGCCAGCTAAAACGGGCTCCCGAGCTCCATTTTTGGCTGCAACGGCCTTCTGCAACCTTCCGCCAGTGAAAACAGAGCTTGGGAGGGCCCCCCGCGGCCCTCCTAGCTCTGTTTTCACTGGCAGAGGAACCACGGGCTGGTCCTTTCCTGTTTCCAGGGTGGCCCCGTGGGCCAAATCTAAGCACATGGACCGGATCCAGCCCCCGGGTGTTGAGTTTGACACCCTTGCTATATGCCCTCCTAGAAACTGCAATGAGAGCGGATACTAATAACTTTCTAAGATGGACCAATAAAGCCATTTCTGCCTGCCCACTACCGTGTTTCCCCGAAAATAAGACCCTGTCTTATATTTTTTTGAACCCTGAAGTAAGTGCTTGGCCTTATTGCCATGTGCTCAAAAGCACATTATCAGGGGATGTCTTATTTTGGGGGAAACAGGGTATATGGGAATAGCAATATTCTAAAGTCTACAGGAGATCCAGATATGATCAGTAATGTACACCTGGTTTATCATCCATATTGTACTTTGTATTATATACTGTATATTTTTTAGTTTAGTTAGGGTTTGTGAATCTGAAATTCAGACTGGATTGGCTTGGTTTCTCAGTCAGGGAGCAAGAGTGAACAGATACTTCCCAATATCTGGCATGTCCATCTAAATTGAATAACCAGCAGACACTCACTCCACAAAGTTTCTGCAAAGGTTTAAAATGTGTTGTGAGTAGTAATATCTTCCTATCCCGTGGATACATTTTCTTTTCTACCAGACATTTTCTTTGTTAATGCATAGATATTAATTCTGCCATTGGATAGTGTACGGGTCATTGAAAAATTATTGGAGCCAATAATTTGCTTTTCTTTCTGCAGTGGAACATGACAAGGAGTTCTATCATCAGCGTAGTCATCGTCGCGAGTTCCGATTTGACCTCTCTAGGATCCCCGAGGGTGAAGCAGTAACTGCAGCTGAGTTTCGAATTTACAAGGACTACATTAGAGAACGTTTTGATAATGAAACATTCCAAATCAGTGTCTATCAGGTCCTCCAAGAACATCCAGGAAGGTGAGTGACTAAAAGACCTCATTTGAGTTGGTGCTGGAAACCCAAGAGACTGTAGAATGAAATATAATTCAGTGATGCCTGTAACAATGTATGTGTGTGTGTGAGAGAGAGGGAGGGAGGGAGGGAGGGAGGGAGGGAGTCTGTGATGCTTCTTATTTAGTATCTCCTCATCTAAAGACTCGGGGCTGAATGTGTGAGGTGATCTTCTGAAACTTCCTTTGTTGAGATGATACGGAAACTCTGTTTTTAGCCCTTGACCTCCAGAGGCTGTTTCTGTTCAGCTTAATTATCCCCCTTAAAATGCAACTATACTTGTGTATTTAATGAATTTAACTTTGAAGTGATAATCAAGAATTGAGCTGTAAGTCTTTGAAGAGCAGTTGGTTTAATTAATGTAGAACTTGCTTATGGAACAGGTAGGAAGATTAGGCCCATTCCATGTGGAGTAAAAGACTGCTTGGTGACTCCGTTGCTTCAACTGGCTAGCCATACAGGACTCATTTTGCTAAACTTTCAGAGTTTGGTCAGAGTTGCAGGATCTCCTCCTATCTGAATCGTGTTGGAAGCCCTTACCCTTCTTGAGGATGGCTTAATATGAGAGACTTTAGCAGTGAAACTCCAAAGGCAGATTTAAATAGTAGGAAAGGAAATTCCAATTGAAAGTTTAAAAATAGTAACAGAGCAATGGATACTGGATAGTGGAATTATTAAGATAGGTGCTAGATTCCCCATCACTCTTTGAGCATAGGATCTATCAGTGTATCTTTCACTGAGGAGTCAATCAGAATAGAGCTGGAAGGGACCTTGGAGGTCTTCTAGTCTAACCCTCTGCTGAAGCAGAAGACACTATACCATTTCAGACAGATAGCTGTCTAGTCTTTTCTTAAAAACCCCCAGTGATGAAGCACCCACAACGACTGAAGGCAAGCTATTTCTCTGGTTAATTGTCCTCACTATTAGGAAGTTTCTCCTTAATTCCTGGTTGCTTCTCTCCTTGATTAGTTTCCATCCATTGTTTCTTGCCTTGCCTTCTGGTGCTTTGGAAAATAAGTTGACCCCCTCCTCTTTGTGGCAGCCCCTCAAATACTGGAATACTGCTATCACGTGACCCCTAGTCCTTCTTTTCTCTAGCCTGGCTGAAAACAACAGTCTCATCTGATTCTATGATTCTGTTTACTTGAAGTGTTGCAATGCCTGTAAGACATTCTAATAATGATGTGGTTGGTGGCATGTAAAATATGGATGGAAACTTTAGCTATTTGTTGTGTCTGTTCTGTAACCAGGTCAGGTTTTCAGATCAGTTACTTATATCAGAGCCAGTAAGCAATCTAAAGTTCATTCAGGAGTTCAAACAAACGGTCTAGCTGTAAGCAGACACTAATGCTAGGCCAAAGGTCAACACCAGTGCATCAGCAACTAGGATGCTCAACTGAAGATCTGAAGAGAAGCTTTTGTAGAGTTCCCACTGACGAGTAAGCCTTTACTCTGATGCCGATCTGTTTCTCAAGAGAGCATTCCTTTGAAGTCCTTGGTACTCTCTGAGCTTGGTGGTTTTGCAGGCTTCAATCTGATCGGTCACCAGGGACCAAAGGCTTAATCTTCCAAGCTTTTGGACTCATGCTGGAGCCCATCCTCATCCAGCTGTAGCACAAGTCTGAAAGTTCAGAAGACTAAACTTCTGGTTCCTGTGACTGACCCAAATTGGATCCTGCAACATTATCCTGGGACATGTATATTTGCCTTCCTTGATGGTTTTCTTGTAGATGTTTCATTACCGAGCTAGGTAACACCACAGAGCATTCCTTTGCCTAGCTATTACCATCTCTTTTGCTGCCCATCATCCCATTGATTTTATCCCAACAAAAGAGCTCTGTCTCAGGAAACAAAGATGAAGGATCTCCTCTGAGTGAATAGGAGTTGCCTACTCCTACTGCCTACTCCTACTCCTGAGTAAAGAGGAGCTGCCTACTTAGGGGGTCATAGTGAAGGTATCTCAGGAGCTTCTAAACTTCCTCCAAAGATAAATCCTTTGAGGTAAGAGTATACTATGCTGCTCAAATCTTCCTACGGTTTACTTCTAAACAAAGACATATGTCTTCTTCTGTAAATCAATAGATAGATATCAATAGCACTTAGACACTGCTTCACAGTGCTTTACAGCCTGCTCTAAGCCGTTTTACAGAGTCAGCATATTGTCCTTAACACTCTGCATCCTCTTTTTACTGATCTTGGAAGGATGGAAGGCTGAGTCAATCTTGAGCCAGTGAGAATCGAACTGCTGGCAGTCAGCAGAATTAGCCTGCAATACTGCATTCTAACCACTGTGTCACCACAGTAGGTAGGTAGGTAGATGGATGGATGGATGGATGGATGGATAGATGATAGATAGATAGGTAGATAGGTAGATAGGTAGATAGGTAGCCTGAAACATTTAGAAGTTTGAGGCTGTAACATTTTATTTCTTCTATGCTGAACAAAGTTGGACATCATTCATTTTTTAATATCAGATTTAATATGAAAGCCAAAATTCCACCATATATTAGTGAAAACAGTCAATGTGAACAGGATAAGAAGTAACAGGTGGAAGATGATCAACGAGAGATCCAACTTAGAACTAAGAAGAAATTTCCTGACAGTGAGAACAATTAATCAGTGAAATGACTTGCCTTGGGAAATTGTGGGTGCCCCATCACTGGAGATTTTTAAGAAAAGTTTGGGCAGTCATTTCTCCAGAATCCTTGAGCAAGAGGTTGGACTAGAAGACCTCCAAGTCCTTCCCAATCCTATTGTTCTAGGATAGATAGATAGATAGATAGATAGATAGATAGATAGATAGATAGATAGATATTCAATGTATTAATTGGCATACCTATGTAATTTATCTTTGTTTTAAGTCTCCTGAATAAACAATAAATCTTCTAATTTTGGGGTTAAAAATAGGAGATGAAGCAAACAAATTATTTAGTTTGGAATGACTTCCATAAAATGGACGCTCTTCTTCCAAGACTGCTAATCCATTATTGCTGCTGAGTATATTATGAGATACCAGGACAGAAAAGTTCCAAATAAGTGTGGGAAAGATGATTCCCTTTGATCTCTATTCCTGAGGGGGTTTCCCTCCAGACTCACTGCGTATGCAGGAATCTAAGTAACTGCAGGAAAACAGATGTATTCTACAGCTTCTACAGCTTTCTCATGGCCTGCACTGAGCCATGTCATGCCTTCATTTTAACAAGGGAATGAAAATGAAAAAAAGGGGAGGGGTAGTTTTTCCCCATATAAGGTTAACCCAAGTAGTAATTTTCAAGAAGTGTCTGTTTGACCCATTCCCCAAAAAGTAAACATCCATGAAGTAGGTTTGTGAGTAATAGAAGATGGTTGAATCAAGGAAGTCCAGTCAAGTGAAATCTTGGAAATTCCACATCAGATCTCAACATTTAAGGCTGAGTGTAGTGCTTCGTCATCCATGTTTCCTGTTATTGCTCCTTGATTTGAAAACTCACCAATTGTTCTGCTCCAGCTCCGGATCCCAAGGAGTGTGACACACACCAAGCTCCAAAAACTCCGTTTATTACAAACAGACCCCTTTCAAAATGCAGGCTTTCAGTGCAAATGTCCTTATCAGCCTGATATAAAGTACAAAGAATAAACAAAGTCCGACAAAGTTTGGCAACCAGCCCAGAAACCAAGATGTGATAAGAAACTCACTCTCCAAAATGCTCTGCCTAATAATTAAACGTTGTTTCCAGCAACAATTGCTAACTGTGTGTGACTTAAATAGGCTAAGGGAGTGGCCAATTAGCCCCAAGCCTTACTCTCGAGGAGACCTCCTCCTCCTGAGTAGCCACTCCTGCCTTTTGGCAGCCCTGCGTGCTCGAGCATTGAGGAGAGGCTCCTCCACTTCACTCTCTGCACTTGAAGGAGCCTCTGGAGGTTCTGAAGGCCCTGGCTGAGTCTCTGCCTCTGGCACCACATCCTCTTCAGCCTCCTTGCTGCCCGACGCGAGCGCCGGCTGCACAGGCTGCTGGCGCGACACCACACCAGCCTCCTTGTCGTCGGGATCAGCCACGATCCGCGCAGGCCGCTGGTGGGCCACAACACCAATAGAATTCAACATTAGAGCCTGGCTGATGAGCAGTGAGGTCTTGGCACAAATTGGCCAAAAAGCTTTTGTCTGTTTCTAAGTTGACTCTGTCAAAGGGGAAGGGGAGAGTTTGATGCCCCAATTTTCAAAGGGCCACCCGTCCTGATCAATTAAGCTGAACATCGACTGCTCTGTCTGGTAGCAGAATTCATGCAAATGTCTTTCTTGTTACCTTACAGGTAATTTATGAAGAGGCCAGATGAGATTGGGTAGAATTGGGGTTTTTACCTTTATCACTAACTACTGTTACTCTTAAATCTGGGGGCGTAGATTCTGTTAAAGGGACGCAGTGGCCCAGTGGCTAAGATGCTGAGCTTGTCGATCGAAAGGATGGCAGTTCAGCGGTTCGAATCCCTGGTGCAGCGTAATGGGGTGAGCTCCCGTTCCTTGTCCCAGCTTCTGCCAACCTAGCCATTCGAAAGCGCGTAAAAAATGCAAGTAGAAAAATAGGGACCACCTTTGGTAGGAAGGTAACAGTGTTCCGTGTACCTTTGGCATTTAGTCATGCCGGCCACATGACCATGGAGACGTCTTCGGACAGCGCTGGCTCTTCGGCTTTGAAACGGAGATGAGCACTGCCCCCTAGAATCGGGAACGACTAGCACATATGTGTGAGGGGAACCTTTACCTTTTTAGATTCTGTTACTATAATAAAATAGAATTCTAATATTTCTTGTGGTGTCTGTTTCTTAGGGTGGCCTGCCTTGAAGGGCTGACATGGAGTTCCTTGCTCATGTGTGTATTTATTTTATGAACATACAGGGCACTTTTTGTTCCATTTGCAATGCAAAATCTTCTCAAAACCGTAAATCTTCAGAAAGACTCTAGCAGCCAACGACTGTTTTAGTAGGGACACCCTGATGGGATGATCAGAAATAGTTGCCGCATTTTCTTGAAAAGTGACTGGCTGATGTACCATAACCAGTCTTTCTAAGATGCAGCTGTACCTGGGTCCCCCACATGGTGCTTACAGACCTTGGGGCTCCCAAGGCTGCCTATGCTATCTGATTTGTCTAAAATATGATTTTAATTTAAAAGGAGAGTGAAATGATAGCACACCGTAAAGCAGTTTGCCAGCCTGAAGCACAATTAATTTCCAAGAATGTTGGTGGGCCCCACATATATGATCAAATTGTTATAAAGTAATGAGCAACCATGATGCAGCAATTTATCTCTTTCATAATTTCAGATTTGTCCACAAGCCCCACAAGGTTATGATCTTAAGATCTTGTCTTAAGATATGCTTTTTATTAAATCAAGGTTGCCGATCAAGAGTTAGTCCTTGTCCTCCAAACTACCTGAATATGCATTCTGTGGTGTACGTAACATCTCTATATAATACACTAGGATTGTTTTGAAAATGGAGAAGTAACTGTCTGATGTAGAAAAAGTTTGCTGAAGATAAAAAGTGTGCAATTCATTGAGGATAGATAGGATTAGGACTTTATTACGGAAAGTACTTTTAAAATTGTTAAGTCTTTTCACCTTGATCAGATTTGCTGATCAAATTGATTACATCACATTATCTTCTGCTTCAATATCTACAGAAAGATCTTTCAGTTGGGGATTTAGAACAATTTCCCAGCTCCTTAAAAAATCCTCTGGTGGCTAGCTGTTATATGAGGATCAATGTCACAAAACAGAACAAAAGCTTTTCAGAGATCAGCTTGGCATCTCTGCCCTAATTATCCAGAGTTGTGAGGGCAATGGGCGGTTCTAAAGATGGATGGACAGATAGAAAGACAGAAAGATCTGAGTCCTAGGGTGTCTCGATATAGAATAGAATAGAATTCTTTATTGGCCAAGTGTGATTGGACAGACAAGGAATTTGTCTTTGCTCTCAATGTACATAAAGAAAAAATAAAATATATTCATCAAGAATTATAAGATACAACACTTAGTGATAGTCATAGGATATTAATAAGCAATCAAATCATACTAAGAAACAGTAAAAACAATATAGGTTGTAAAGATACAAGCAACATGGATATAGCCATAAGTGGGAAGAGATAGGTACTAGTAACGCTGAGAAGAAGATTGGCAGATTCCATGCTTAGCTCAATTACTTTTAATTAAAAATCACATGTAAAAATATCATGCTGTAAAGCCAAGCCCCAAGCCTCTAGCCCCATTTAAAGAATTCTTCCCGACTCTTTATATGCTATACTTATGAAATAAAATGATAAGGAGTTCGCAACCCAATACTTGATCTTCCCAGAATAGGACAAGGTCAGCAGAAGTGGTAAGGAGAAAACTAAAGCAGGTGATTGGGAATATTCTCATTTGTTTGCCTTCTGGTAAATCCCATCTACAACCCCTGGTAATTTCTGAAAATGCCCATAAAGTGCTTTCAGAATCTACCAGCACGAAAAAAGTATGAATACCTCTGCTCTGCCAGATGGTTGAGTATTGGTGTGCCACCCATAAAACCTTGATGATAATTGCCTCATTAGTTTTCATTTAAAAGGCTGAAACGAGAGAGCTTACCAGCTGGTTTAGGAAAACTCAGTTGAATTTAGTAACGTTTCACCCAGACTTAATTTCGAATGGGTAAACTGTTGATCACAGCTGAATTTGCTTAATATATTCCTGTTGTTGAAAACTTGCAAGAGAAAGTGCTTACCGTCATGTCGCATACTCTCCTTCATCTGGTCTTGAGGCAGTCCCAGATGTGAGACTTTAGGTTTGTTGTAGATGGTCCAGAAGTTGTTCTGTTCAAGCAAGGAACTCACATACGTAACTGCGCAGATCAGAAAGAAGTAATCTAGATATTGCTTCTGTCTCGGATCTCATGATTTTCTTGCTTGATCTTTGTGCTTACTCTTGAGGTTGCTCTACTCCTTTGTTGAACGTTAAATTCCACACCTCTGCCTTTTTTTTTTTTTAATGAGTATGCTTTGTGGCTTGGTGCTTCTTTTATCTATAAACAACCATTCTACTGATAGTAGCAGTAGTCGTTCAAGAATTTATAAAGCGCCCTAAGATTTTAATAACTATACAGATGGGTTTATCTGTGCTTCAGTTGGAACCCACACAAAGTAATTTAGTTACGCAAATATCTGTGCAAACGTGTTCACAGGATGTTTGGCAAGATGGTGCATGCAAGTCAGCAAAACGGGCTTGTAAATGAAGCCGGCGTGTTGGTGTATCCAATTATGAACCTTGCACAAACGGTTGCAACTTCCAAGTGGCCTATATTTACTACAAAATGGATTGTATGAGGAATGTACAGTTTGTCTGGGGTGGGAATTAAGGACACTGTTAAGCTCTAGAATAGCATGTGGATCACCACAGTCCAAAAATGAGCATGAACAAAAACATAGAAGTATGATGTGACATGCTATGACATGCTATGAAATGATATATGATACCATCCATAGAGCTGAGAAAGGATCGATGGGATGATATCCTCATTCAAAACAGTTGAAGTATAACCCAGTATTTATTTTAGGATTTGTGGGTTTCAACACTCAATTGGGCTCCAGCTTCCTCAGTTGTGCCAAGATGGTAGGGTAGACTAAAGCATTGTGCATGTACCTTGCGTGGTGCATTCTACAAGTAGACCTCACCTTACGACCACAATTGGGACCACAATTTACATTGCTAGCAAGGCTGTTGTTAAATGAATCACACCCAATTTTACAACCTTTTTGCCACAGTTGTAAGCAAATCACTACAGTTAAGTGAATTATGTGATAGTTAAACACATGTGGTTTCTCCCATTGACTTTGCTTGCTGGAGGCCAATAGGGAAGGTTGCAAGTGGTGATCACATGACCCCAGGATGCTGTAAATGTCATAGACGCAAACAAGTTGCCAAATGCCCCAAAATTGATCACATGACTGTGAGTATGATGCAGTGGTCATAGTGTGAGAACTGGTCATAAGTCACTTTTTCATGCAGTTGTAACTTTTAGTCACTAAATTGTAATGTAAATTGGTTGTAAGTCAAGGATTACCTGTACAAAGCTTTGAAGCCTTCATCATATATAACTGCCTTAAGTAGAACTGCATCACAAATCTACCTGGAAGCTTCTGCTGTTGTAGATGATGGTCACCAGATTTTATGGTGAAATAATAGCTTTAGCAACTCCTACATGGAATTCTAGAACAGGGATCTCCAACCTTGACAACTTTAAAACTTGTGGACTTCAACTCCCAGAGTTCCTCAGCCAGCTTGAAGTCCACAAGTCTTAAAGTTGGGAGTTGAAGTCCATAAATCTTAAAGTTGCCAAGGTTGGAGACCCCTGTTTCAGAAGTTACTTCTTATCTACTTTTAGATAAGAAGGACTGCAGTGGACAAAGCTTTCTTTTCTTTGAGACTTGGATTTTTTGAATATGATTGTAGTTAAACCTCAATTGATAATAATTGTCCTTGTTCCAGTCTAAAAGGAGCAGAAAGATATGCTGCAAATACTTGGTGGAAAGTTGGCAGATTTTAGAGGCACTGTCAGCAAGTCTTCTGGGAATTGCAAAGAATGTTTGAGCCAACAGGTTGTAGATTGCTCTCCATTTTTCAAGTCCTTGCAGGAAATGAAATGGTTTTACAGAAAATGTCTGTAAAAGTGGTACCTATTAGTCTACTTGGCATTTACATCCTTTCAAACTACTAGGTGGGCAGGAGCTGGAGCAAGGAATGGGAGCTCACACCGTTGCATGATGCTTGGATCTCAAACTCAGGCTGTCAGCTCTCTAGCTGACAAGTTTAGTGCCTTTAACCACTGAGCCATCGCGACAGACAGACAGACAGACACACACACACAAAATCTTAATTCTAGAAATTTTGAAAGATGTTCTCTCCCATTTTCCTTTTATTTTATGTCTCTAGGGATTCAGATTTGTTCTTACTTGATACTCGTACAATTTGGGCTGAAGAAGAAGGTTGGCTGGTATTTGATATTACAGCAACTAGTAATCACTGGGTGGTAAATCCGCTGCACAATCTTGGCCTGCAGCTATCAGTGGAGAGTATAGATGGTGAGTATAAGAAAATAACATTTTGGCAAATCTTTTACAATTTGTGCTTGGGATAATAACCAGTTGTATTTAGAGATGGTGTTACTTTCATGTGTCCCCCTGGTAGAGAGGATGGTTGTTTATTCAAAGGTGTCCTCTGTTGTAAGGCTGCATGACCTATATCTGGATGAAGATTCATAAAAAGGAAAACAAGGTCCTTGGTTAGTTATTGTCTTCTTCACTGATTTAACTTCAATTATTCTCCTTTATCTCTCCCAAAATGGTTTTTAAACCTGGTTTAGACTTTCCATTGGCTCTCCAAAGATTATTATGTGCACCTGGAAGTCATCTTAGCTAAACCCTTTAGATCAAGTAATTTCTTGTTTTGTTTTTGCCTCTGGTGATACAAAGAAACTATCAGAATCCGACATCTTCCTCCTTAGACTGAATGAAGACTAATAAGAACAAGCTAAATTTGTTAATGTAAGAAAAGTACATGTGGGCGTTGACTTGAGTTTTATGACTATTTCATTCACCTCATGGAGATTTGAGTCTAGATGGGATGGTTTTGAAGGCATTTTGAAGTTCTAACTGAAACATAAGCTCACATTCAATAGTAACTAGACAACTCATGACCTATTTGGTCATCGTTTCAGAGATATTTTCTTACTTAAACAAGGAAACAGAATGACCAAGGCAGAAAATCAGTGAGAGTGGAAATAACTTCTGACTTCCTGATAGCTAGTTCATGGTTGACTACCTTTGGCAGCCATTGGTGGGATTGATGTACCCAGTCTCCAGAAAGCTAGGATGGGAATGGTCTATTGAACTTCTGGATGGCAGTACGTCAGCACTGAAGCTACCATAATTTTTCCAGATTTCAATTCCATGGGATTTTGGACACATTCTTAAGATAGTAAAATTGGTTAAAAAATTGTCACCCTATAATGCACTGTTTCACCCAGGTTAGGTTATAGACATAGTATATAGATCACAAATTCTACCTTGTTTCCCCAAAAATAAGACATCCCCTGATAATGAGCCCAATTGGGCTTTTGAGCGCATGCACTAAAATAAGCCTCCCCCTAAAAATAAGCCCTCCCCAAAAATATTTAAACACAGCTGGAATTCAGGTAAGACGGCAAGAGGAGCCCCATCTTGCTTCATGCCCCCCAAAATAATAAGACCTCCCCAAAAATAAGGCCAAACACTTATTTCGGGGTTGAAAAAAATATAAGACCGGGTGTTATTTTCGGGGAAACATGGTATTCTTTGATAGTTAAATCCAACAATGGTAGATGGAAGGAAGGAACAATGGTAGAAGGAAGGAAGGAAGAAAAAGAAAGAAGGGAGGAAAGGAAGAGAAAGAAAGAAAGAAAAAAAAGAAAGAAGAAAGAAAGAAAAGAAAAGAAAGAAAAAGAAAGAAGGAGAAAGAAAGAAAGAAAAAGAAAAAAGAGAGAAGGGAAGGAGGGAATTTTAGTGAGTTTTTGTTTATTCTTAAAAAGTTTGGTTAAATGAAGCAATGCAAGAAAGGCTAAAGTAATCCATTAGCCTCAGGCATTCTGTTATCTTCTAAGTCCGTGAATGCTTTCCTTCCTGACATTATATTGGAGCAATAGCTGACTTTGTAAAGTTAACTTGATTTCTTACATGCTCATTCATATCCTGTTTGTCTCATTGCGGTGGCAAGTTGAAGAAAACTCTTATGCAGCTTGATACTAGACATACATGCTGGGCACTAAATCCGGTGCAATTTATTGGCCTCCCTAGCTAAGGAAATGTCCAATGAATGTAGACTAAGAGCCATAGCTAGTTTAAAGCATATTTGCATCTTGTCATCTGAATGAAGGGTATTGCTTTAAAATTAATATAACTATATTTTTCTCTAAAGACTTCGTGAGAAATCATCAGAGTGACTGCAAAGGAACTTCCACTATAATGAGATTAGAGCCCAAGATAGGGAGTTACTAGATATAGGAATGAGAGCTTTTTTTTTTCTTTTACTTAAAACAGGGGTCCCCAAGCCCTGGGCCACAGGCCACTACCAGGTTGTGGCCTAGTCAGAATCAGGCTGTGTGACAAGCGGGCTGCTGCGCAGACATGTGCACTAGCCAGGGGTGGGTTCTACTTACCTTTACTACTGGTTCGCAACAGGGCCACGCATGCGAGCTTCATGTGTGAACTCGCACACTCTTCTGCGCAAGCACATAAGCATTTTCATGACGTCAGGGTCAGTGGGCGGAGCCTCTTGTTGGTTTTACTACCGGTTCTATAGAACCAGTGCAAACCGGGGGCAACCCACCACTGGCGCTAGCCCACTGTTCATCCGGCCCAGTTCCCCTCTCCCCGAGCTGCCAAGCCGCAAAGATTGTGGACCGCTGAATTAAAAGATTTATTAAATTAAATTAAATCTATTTCTTAAATTATCTATAAAATACCATTTAAGAAAGAAAACGATGACTGCTAAATCCTGTGTCAAATTTTCCAAATCTATACTTCCGATATTTAAGAATGAATGATTTGGCCTGAACAACTGAATAGATTAAATATTATTGATATTATAAGCATTATTGACTAAATGGGTATGCTAGGGAGCTTTAAAAATTGCCATATTTCTGGTGACCACTATGTGCCCCAGAAATCCACTGGTATTATTTGGAATTGGTATGAATAAATTTCCTCTGAAAAATCAGTCTTCTATCCTGGCAGTTAAATGATGATGAGATGGTCTCACAAAGTGTTGATAAGTTCCTTTGCATTAGAAACTTGGGGGCTAGATCTCTAAAGCACTTAAGAGCATTCATGTATCCTGTTCCACATCAGTTTGTCTGATTATTAAGATAGACCGTCTGATTTTCAACAAATCCTAAATCCCTTAATACACTCTACTTTCACCAATCTCTGGAAGGCTACTAGACAGGGGTCTAATCTAGCTTCCAAGCTGAGGTTGTTCCATGAACAGGAGCCATCACAGATCTTCAGGCCTCAACTTTACTTCCCCAAAATGGACCACCATTAGCCCCTTCCTTTGGGATACTCATATTGGACAGATCCCAATAATACTTGGAGCTGAGCCCCAAAGGGCTTCATAGGATGAAACCCAGAGGTTGTATTCAGCAGGTTCTGACCAGTTCTGGAGAACCGCTAGTGGAAATTTTGAGTAGTTCAGAGAACCAGTAAATATCACCACTGACTGGCCCCGCCCCCATTTATTCTCTGCCTCCCGAGTCCCAGTTGATCGGGAGGAAATGGGGATTTTTCAATAACCTTCCCCTGGAATGGGGAGGGAATGGAGATTTTACAGTATCCTTCCCCTGCCATACCCACCAAGCCATGTTACACCCATCAAGCCACACTCACAGAACTGGTAGTAAAAATTTTTGAATCCCACCACTGATGCAACCTGCAGTGTGAATTTTACCCAGAAACATATTTGTAACATAGGCCAGGGCCATTAATGTCGGTGTACTAACCAGCAAATGGGCCACTATATTCTGAGCCAACTGCAACGTTAAAGTAGCCCCATGTAAAGACTGTTGCAGTAGTCCTCAAAATTATCTTTGGTTTACATAAGACTAAACAAATTATTTGTGATGTCTTTTAATAAGAAAAAGCTGTTTCTGTCTATCTCTCAAATGGATGTTTTCTGGAAACACACCAGCTTTTATTTTAGGACATTTTTATTTTCAACTAATAACTTTCCAAGGAGAATTTAGTCTGTTGGACTTAGTTTTATGGCTCTTTTTAAAAACAAAAAAACAGGAGCACATTAAATTATAAATGGTTGAACTCAAGAAACTTCCCCCACCACATTTGTTTTTTTTTAAAGAAACCAGAGAGTAGGAGAAATTCATATTGGAAGTTGACCTGGAGTAACGTAGCTTTAATAGAGGTAATTGCTTTAGCAACGGCAAATTTCAAAATGGAAAATGATTTTTTTTTTTAATTGAGCCATTTCTTGTATGAAACGTCTAGCATTAATTTCCATTGGAATAGCAATAGCACTTAAAAGCAATTAGTGCTTTACAGCATACACACTCAATGGTTTACAATGTTAGCATCTTGCCCCCAACAATCTGGGTCCTCAATTTACCAACTTTGAAAGGATGGAAGGCTGAGTCAACCTTGGTCTCTATCAGGATCGAATTCCTGGCTGTGAGCAGAGTTAGTCACAGTGGTGGAATTCAAATTCTTTTACTATCGGTTCTGTGGGCGTGGCTTGGTGGGAGTGGTGTGGCTTGGTGGGCGTGGCAGGGGAAGGATATTGCAAAATCTCCATTCTCATCCTACTCTGGGGCCAGCCAGAGGTGGTATTTGCTGGTTCTCTGAACTACTCAAAATTTCCACTACCGGTTCTCCAGAACCTGTCAGAACCTGCTGAATAGGATCCCTGGTTAGCCAGAGGTATTGTATTCTAACCACTAGTGTCACCATGCATGTTCATTGGAGGCTTCCATTATTATTGGCATAACTGGAAAATAGGCAACATTCATTTGCAAAACTAATTTGCGTGTCTTCCCTTCTTTCTCTTTCCACTTAGGACAAAGCATCAATCCCAAGTTTGCTGGTCTCATTGGAAGGCATGGTCCACAAAACAAGCAGCCATTTACGGTGGCCTTTTTCAAAGCTACCGAAGTGCACCTCCGAAGTATCCGTTCTACAGGAGGTAAACAGCGGAACCAAAACCGTTCAAAGGCACCTAAAAATCAAGAAGCCTTTCGAGTGTCAAATCTTGGAGGTATGCAAACATTAGGTTTGTGATTTCCATAAAATTAATCTTGGGGGATTAAGTTAAGAAAATAAAGTTGTTTCTGGTAGTTTTGTCTCCTTCCTAAATTGTTTTTTATCTTAGCTGAGAAGAAACGAAATCCGAGCATGGCTTTCTCTGCTGTGAACATGCTGGGATGTTGAGAAATGCTTCTCTGCAACCAACTAGTTATCAAACACAATGAACTCTACTACACAATTGGAGTGTGTAAAACGTTCTTAGGTCAGAATAGCCATTTTGAGCATTCTAAATCTGAAACAAAATGACCCTTTGAATTCAGCACAAAATAGGGACGTTGCTTTCAGTGTTCACTCTAGAAAAGAAAAAGTATCTTGCTCCCAATGTTTCATCTGGAGGTCACTTTCTTACAGCTAAGGACTATATCCTGGGATCTTCAGGTATGATGCTTGGAAAACTAGACCAAGGGGCTGAATTTTTATTGTTGTACAGTTTTGCAACAATAATATAGACCAGGGGTCTCCAACCTTAGCAACTTTAAGATTTGTGGACTACACTCCCAGAATTCCCCAGCCAACATGGCTGGCTAAGGAATTCTGCGAGTTGAAGTCCACATGTCCTCAAATTGCCAAGGTTGAAGACCTCTGATATAGACAATGTCTATATTATGAAGAGAAAGCTATAGAATATGTACCTAGTCACACTTCCATGAAGGAACCTTACCAGTTTTGGTTTTCAACGTATGGCAGTTTTATGATTGGCCATCACCACAATTTTGTGCTTGGGAAGAAAGGAAGGAGGGAGAGAGAAACGAAGGAAGAAAGGAAAGGAGGGAGGAAGGGGTCGGAGAAGGGAGGGAGAGAGGGAAAGAAGGAAGTTATTGGATTTGGGAATTGCACCTGTGCTGCAGTGTAGAGATTCTATGCTTTCACAAATTTTCTTCAAACTCTCTTCACCTTTCTACTACATCTGTTGTTTAAATGTTTATAGAATTCAGATCAATACATTAATGTGTTGGAGGAATATTAAGGAACCATTAATATGTAGGTTTTATGGATTAATTTTTGGCATCCTTTTAATCTCTTATTTATTTATTTATATCTCACTTTTATTATTTTTGTAAATAACTCAAGATGGTGAATATACCTAATACTCCTTCCTCCTCCTATTTTCCCCACAACAGTAACCTGGTGGGGTGGGGGTGGGGCTGAGAGATACATAAATCCTTCTAGGGTTGCATGGGATTCTATTACACTGTTTATAGATATTGTCATGATTTTAGAAAAATATTTCAAAAAGTCGTGTATGCATGTAACTACATTCCCAGTGCTAGTCTATGCATTATTAATAAAATTGTCAGACTGATTGCTGCGAGACAGTTGGTCTAACTTTGCTTTGCCTTCTTTTTCTGCCCAACGCTCTCCAACTCAGAAAACAGCAGCAATGATCAGAGGCAAGCATGCAAGAAACATGAACTCTATGTCAGTTTCAGGGATCTTGGCTGGCAGGTAATGCTACTTTTTTTTTACTTGGAATTAGAGATCCTAATAATAGGTTGTGCTTTAAGTCTACTAATTTTCAAGTGGGTAACGTGATTTCCTTTTTCTATTATGTCCAAAATTGTAGAAAAACAAAAGCCAAACCTGTTTTGACAGGTAAAATCATGCAGGTTTCCATGTTGCTTGCAAATAATTCCAGGGCAAGCTTTCTTTCCTTATACCCCGTTTCCCCGAAAAGAAGCCCTAGCACTTTTTTTGCGCTTAATATAAACCCTATCCCCAAAATAAGCCCTACTTAAGAACCTGCGCAGCCAGACAGCTGGCCACCCATTTTGTCTGGTTGCTCATGGTGCTGCAGCCATGAGGCGAGGTGTTGTGATGGTGGAACTGCTCCACATGCCCCGCAGCAGCTTACCTCAGGGCCCTCACAGACAGGCCATCCACAACCCGACACCTGCCTCGCAGCGGCAGCACCAGCAGTCATGTGCAGCAGCAGCCCATATGGCCACCAGCCCACTTCTTCTGCTTGCTCACAGCCACAATAGAGCAGGAAGCCTAGTGGTGTTCTGGTGCCGTGGCCACGAGGCGAGGCAGGTATTGGGCCATGAGTGGCCTGGCTGCGGGGGGCCTGAAGTAAGCCAGTGCAGAGCATGTGGGGCAGCTCCACTGCTCAGCATCCTGACCCCTCCGCAAGCAAGCAGAAGAAATGGGCCTCCCGTACATGGGGAAAAATGAATAGGAGTCTCCCCCCAAAAAATAAGCCCTAGTGCTTATTTTGGGGCCAAAAAGAAAATAAGGCCCAGTCTTATTTTTGGGGAAACATGGTAGTAGATTCAGTTCCACTAATGTATTTATCTATTTATTTTTAATTTCTATATCAAATCTGGAGATCGCCCATCTCACTTGAAGAGCCACTTTGAGTGGTGTACAATTATAGCGTAAAAATCATGTGCGTTTTAGTCCAATAGGAGGCAGTGTAAATGGGAATGAAATAATTAAAATTAAAAAGGCAGAGGAAGGGCCTTCGAGGTACTGATCAACACCAAAGTTGTGTGTCTATGGAGAGTCTCAGTTGGTTTTCTTTGAACAATACCAAAGTTGTGTGTTCCTCTGCGAACCCCAAGTGAGTCGGCAGAGCCAGGTCTTCAATTTTTTGGGGGGAAATGCCATGCCAGGGGACCTGCCTCGTTTTTGGGGTTGGGGGGGAGTGTATTCCAAAGGGCAGGAGTGATGTGAGAGAAAGCTCTCTTCCTGAACCATGCCAGAATTTTAAATTTCTTTATAAACCAAAAGAATCAGTAATTTTAAAGCCACCTTTAGTGGGTAGGGCTGAGAGAAAGGGATTGGCTCAAAGCCAGCCAGGTGTTTCTCATGCCTAAGATGGAACTAGAACTCACAGTCTCCCAGTTTGGTACCTTAACCACTGATAAGGAATGGATACAAATCTAATAATAGGGTTTTTTTTTTTTTTAAAAAAAAGAAGAAGTAAAAAAACGTCATTCTAATACAATGTGTCTCTACCTCAGCAACTTTAAGAGGTGTGGACTTCAACTCCCAGAATTCCCGGTTCAGCATTAGGGGAAGCAATTAAAATTAACACTGCTCTAGGGGAAACAGGGAAAAAATCCACAGCAACCCCATCGGAGTTGATACCCTTGTACTGGGTCTAGGGATAAATGAATGTGCCTGTGGCAGGAAATGAAGCTTAAGCTTTGTTAACCCTCTCTTTGATCTTTAGATGATAGCACAGACCAGAGACTTTAATTTAGGCCTACATAATCCCTAAACTGTTTTAAGCTAAAGTAAACCTCCCCTAACCCCCATCCTTTTTATCATCGTTCTTTTATTGCAACTTTTAAAAGAGAAACACAGGGTGGGGGGAAACAATCTAGAGAAATAAATTAAAATAAAAACAATATTATCTAACCAATTCAGTTTTAAATTCCCATTTAAGTGAAAGTCCTATATCTATACAGATGAATTTCAAGAATTTTGGGGGCCGAAAAAAAATGATGATGTTTAGCTTATTAAATCCTCTCCATCTCTCTGCCTCACCCAGGACTGGATCATCGCTCCAGAAGGCTATGCTGCTTATTACTGCGAAGGAGAATGTGCTTTTCCATTGAACTCTTACATGAATGCAACAAATCATGCTATTGTACAGACACTGGTAAGTTTATCTTCAGCGTCTTTCGCAACAGTTCTGTAGCCTGATCAGTGTCATTCCATTAAAAGAGAAAGTATAAGAGAGGTGAACTATATGGATTTCAGGAAAGTAAAATAATCATTAACTACACATTAGCATTTCTTATATCTTCAATTTGGTAATTTGTCTGATACCAGGGTAGACGGTATTTGGTGAACTCTGTGGAGTCCTTGGTGCTCTCTGAGCTTGGTGTTTGCTTGCAAACCTTTCATTACCAAACTAGGTAACATCATCAAATTTAAATCATGTATCCACAATTTGCCATTGTTAACTAGGATGGCAGTTTCTGTCCTCTCCTCCTCTTGCCCTGTTGGGTATGATAACTGTTTTTATTCATGCTAAGCAAATATATCTTACTAGACACATTTTTCTTGTAGCAATATACTTCTCATATTTCCTCAAAAAACTTGACATAAGAAAAATTTGAGCGATATTTTCCATCATCACAGATTATCAGGAGCTAAAATTCCATGGGAGAGGATATTGGGTTACTCTGAGATTATAAACTAGATCTAATTATTAATTGACACTATGAGTAAAGACCTTGCAGCTACATTGACAGTTCAGGAATAGCTAGTTCAGCTACTTTGATGGTGGTAACCTGTCTTCTCTGGGCAACACCCAAAGTTGCCATGCAATCAGAGGAAATCAAGTGTTGGTAATAATAGGTGCCAAAACTGGATCTTCTAGTTGAATAATGGGAGGAAACATTGACAGGGTGGAAGAGTGTGAAGCTCAACCAATTAACATGTGTCTATATGTATTTATAATTCACCATAAAAATAAAAAGTGAATAAAAGTGAATTATTTTACCTTTTTAATTATATTTTCACCAAGAATGAGAATTTGAAAAGTACTAAGAAAATAATCCAGATATTTGAGAAACCCAGTGCTGTATCTCTTGGATATAAAATGATCCAATGAAAGCTTTCCCCACAAAAGAGAGGAGGAGAGAAAGAAGTAAAAAGTGGAAGAGAAAGATTATTTTATTCATATCAATAATATCTTCATATCACCAGTTCCCAAGACTAGGAAGAATATCTAAAGAACAGTCACAAATTCACAGAAACAAGTGTTTTCTATGGCTGTGCGAGTTGCATTAATGATAGTGGGGTGTGAGTTGTGTGCATACACCACATACCCACAATACCCACAAACATACACATATATTGCAAATAATATTATTTACCCTAAACATTTACCCAGAAAGCCTTTTATCCTCACCCTTCTTGCTCACTGTCCTTTCATGACTTTCTTATGTAACAACTCTTGTTGATCTTCTGCAAGATCTGTTTCTTCTAAGCCCAGTAATCATAGTCTTCTCAGTACAGAAGTCAAGGTGTCAGCTCTCCTGGCTCAAGTTCCAATAGAACTTGGTGGTAACTGTTGAAAAACCCTGTACCTTTCAATGTCTAGTACCCACAGAGCTTGCTCAATTCAAAGTTCACAGAGCCTGGTGGCGCAGCAGACTAAAGCACTGTTACTAACATCAAGCTGTCTGCAATTACTGTAAGTTCAAATCTCACCAAGCTCAAGGTTGACTCAGCCTTCCATCCTTTGTAAGGTAAGTAAAATGAGGACCCAGATTGTGGGGGCAATAAGCTGACTTTGTATAAATATACAAAAGTATGAAGGCTATTGCTTAACGCATTGTAAGCCACCCTGAGTCTCCGGAGAAGGGCGGCATATAAATCAAATTAAAAAAAAAAAAAGTTCAAAAATGTCTTGTTAATTCTTGCATGGGAATCACCAAATTTGTAGAAAAGGAGATCTTCCAAGTATAAGTGGAAGTGGTTATAACATCAGTGTGGTAGAAACAGAGAAGCAGATATGGAGGGGGAAAGAACCATAGTCCATTTCTGGAAAACTGTCTTTCAGGCTGCAAAATTCAAATGGCCACTAGATGGCAGCAATGAGTTCATCGTTTTCAGTATCTTTCCTGCCATCTAGTGGTTTCCAGGATTCCTACAGTCTCTCTGGTAGCCCAACTGATGTGCTGTTGTGTTCTATTTGTATTTAATATTCAGCTTAAATTCTTGTAAACATCCTGATGTCTCGTACCTTCTTTGCCTCCAGGTTCACTTTATAAACCCCGATACCGTGCCGAAGCCTTGCTGTGCCCCAACACAACTCAACGCCATTTCCGTTCTCTACTTCGATGACAGCTCCAACGTCATTTTGAAGAAATACAGAAACATGGTGGTACGAGCCTGTGGCTGCCATTAACAGCCTAGTCAGGAAAGCTATTTCGGGATTTCAAAATGTGCAGACTGAATTGTTTTTATAAAATAGAGAGGTTTTTTTTTAAAGAAAAAAAATGAGGAAAAAAAAAAGGAAAGCTATCTTAGAAAGAACATTTCTAAATGGGCCAAAGGTTCAGGAATGATTTTTGAGATGCAAGCGCTGCTTTGAACATAGTTGGCTTTAGATTGCACAGAAGCATCTTGGATGAAAATAAGGATGAATTCTAAGAACAGATTTTTTTTTCCCCTGAAAGTGCCTTGTCAAGGAAACAGACCTCTTTTATTTTTTACTTTTCCTTTTTTTCTTTCTTTTTTTTTTAACAAGAAAGCTATTTGAGGTGTATATGAATGAGGAACACATCCATGAGTGCTACAGGTTTATAGATCTCCTTCCTAAAGAAATGCACCACCTGAATTAAAATGTATGAATGAATTTATCTGAATCCACTGGCTATCTCAACCACATTACAAGGAAGATGTGAATTTTGACTTCTTTTTAAAACAAAAATTCCATGGCCTTACATGTTTGAGATGTTCCCTGCCAAGGCAGCTATAAAACTTTTGCAGTGATTCCAGACACTGAGCATGATGTATATATACTGTACTTTCTGCAGCTGGATCTCCTGTTTCCCATTCAAAATGAGCAGGCAGCATTACAAATCCAAGAGTCAGGGCTGTACATAATATCTTTGTATGGCCATGCATAGTGTTCCGTATACAAGCACAGAGACCTCAAGATAAACGGCATACAGATTTGAGTCGCAGTTGGCTGTGTTTAGTGTAATTCATGGAATTGCACAATGAAGCTTCCCGTGTTTGAGAAAACAGGGTTGACAATAGCATTCACTAGAATACTGACAATAAAATTTGCCAATCTTATTTCCCAAGTCACAGTAGCAAACATGCAGATTTACTGTGATAATTGTTTAATCACTTTTTCTGGCAAGATTTCTTCTTTTTCCTATGCTTTAATCCAATTTGATAGGCAAGAGAAAACTCTTAACTATTCAGAAGGGCGAATCTCTTAATGTGCAGGAACAATGCATTCAGCCAATATAGAAATCTTTTGTTTCTGAAAAGTGCCTTCTCCCTTTTCTGTTTTGGCAATGCTAATTTAAATCTTCCTCTAATCTGGAAGGGAGCAGAAAGGTGTAAAAAGTTAATACAATAATTGCTGTTGAATTAAAAGGCTACCATTCATAAGCCATGTTGGTCAGACTAATCTGGATGAAGAGGTGGACAGCTTGTCAATATTTCCATGCTAAATGACATGGAATTGCAACTCGGTTGAACAGTGGTAAGCATTTTGTGATCTCCAGATGCTACTGAATTGTAAGTCTCATGTTTCATTATTAGTCACTGTGGCTCAGAAGCTGGAATTCAACATCTGTAGATCCATGTGTTACCTATTTCTGCACAGATCGTGCGCACAAAATTATTCACTGGATAAAGTTGTTGGGAGAAAGGTACAAGGATAAAGATTGGATAGAGAGGACCGTTATGGGGAACAAACATTAATCAATAACTTGATACCAAGGTAAATAATCCAGGTTCTATCATCAAGTAGAATTGTTTCCAAAACTTGAGAATGTTATTGTTCATCCTCAATTAGCTTGAAGATGCCCATGTACGGCGATATGACTTTTGGTTGGGTTGTATGTTGTTTCAAAAAGAATTTTGACCATTCAGGAAAGTTTCATAGGAGAAGATACCAAGATAAGAACCTACATAGGAAGCCTAAAGGAGCTGAACTCACAAAAGTGTTGAATTTCAAGCTGCAAGTGTAATATGCCATCAGCTAAAGCTACATAAATACCGCACTTGTAATACTGGGTGGAGGTCCTAGTTCAAAAAAAGATGTTGTGGCTAACAAGTGACTGAAGCCATTCAGTTTGTTATAACTGGTGCAAGGTTGCAGATAATAACTCTCAATCACTGGACAAAATCCCATGGAAAGCCATATCTAATCATCACTCGCTTCCAAAAAAATTCAAAGGCTTTTTCTGCATCTAAAGATACTAATGTAGCAGAATCTGTTTCATCCTCTGCTATATGCAGTATGTCACTTATATAATATATGCAAATTATCTGATGCTTGAAAAATTTTGATAAACCCCAACTGGGAAGGATGAATTATGTCTGGTAAGATCTTTTGCAAGCATCTAGCCAGTAGGATAGATAACATCTTGGTGTTCACATTTTTGTGGGTCTTTATCTGGTTTTAAAATGTCATAAAATTATGATGTAATTCATCAACCTTAAATTTTACCTCATTGTATACCGCCCAAAGAATAGAAACCCACAAACCTGTGCATACCTTATATACCAGTGCTTCTCAATCTTGGCAACTTGAAGATGTGTGGACTTCAGCTCCCAGAATTCTCTAGCCACCATAGCATTTTTGGGGTCTGTCATAACTTCCAATGGTTGCTAAGTGAGTGGTCATAAATCGAGGACTACCTTTATTTTTTTTTTCTGGTCTCCCTGAATATGAGAGAGATGTTTCTTCCCTTCTTCCTGCTAATAAGGCTTAATTAATGAAGTTAATTTGCCACAATAGAACACAGAAAGTATTTTATCCCATAGTGCCTAAGTAATTTCTTGGATTTGTTCCCACATGATGAATTGCTGGTTTTTAAAATAGGAGGAGGATGGGTCTACCAAAGACTCTGAACCACGAAAGCTAACTTCTAAATAATCACATATATATGTGTACATATATATATATATATACACACACACATACATACTGTATATATACTGTATATATGTGATATATATATAGGATGTTGGGAACAAACCTTATTGATTCACATTGCCTTGCTATCTGTGAAGTCATGCTTGGAAATGTTTTAGACTGGGTGGCTGTTAGGTGGAAAAGGCCCAAAGTGGACTTTCTACTGTTTGAAACCAGCTTGTTTCATATACCAGTAGGTAGAATGATTGTGGGGGTAGATCCCAATGGGAAACTAAAGGGACTAGTGTGATTTTCAAGCATCCCTCCAATTAGAGCTGATTCTAATCCTTACCTTTTCTCTCAGTCAGTATATTTTTGGATCAGATTAACTTCCCTTCACCTGCTGATTAAGTCAGGAGGTCAGAGTCCTAGCATATTTTTATATAGATGCTTACACCAGCTTCATATGTCTTTCTAGGGCAGGGGTGTTAAACTCGCGTCGTCATGTGACGTATCACGACTTTTCCCCCCTTCACTAAACTGGGCGTGGGCGTGGCCAGCACGTGACGCATCTGGCCCATGGGCCGCGAGTTTGACAGCGCTGTTCTAGGGTTTGATGAACCTCCTTCAGGGAACTTTTTTTTTTTAATGCTATACTAGATTTTTTTTTAAAAAAAATGTGTTTTTCCTGAGCCCTTTACCTTCAGGCTGTGTTGGGACAACAGAAGCAGGATTCCTGGCCATCATGTGATCATCATTCTGAACATTGTAGTCCTAGTTTATACAGAGGACACCATCTTAGGGGAGACTGCCTTATGAGTATGTATATAATATATGGGTGATCTGTAGTGTCTTCTCTTCCAGATTATGTTGGTAAATATTCTGGAAGAAAACCTTCACGAATGAGTTCAGCCTCTTTATGTGTATTAGGGGAATAATATTCCTAGGGTCATTTCCCTTCCCAACCTTTCAAAATAAATGGCCTTTTTCTTTGGGTTAATTTCTGTTTAAATTCCATTCTTTGTACATGTTTTTGTAAATAGTTTTCACAAAAGCCAAAAAAAAAAATTATTTATTTCAGCCTCTGTATTTCTTTTCTCAGTCGCATTTGGGAAAAACAAAACCAACCAAGCAATCGACAAAAAAAAAAAAATCATCTCTCATTTGAAAACATGTTGTTTCTTTATTTAATAAAATATTTATTAACAACTGCTGGTGAAACAAATAAATGTTTGGGGACTTTTTATTTCCTTACAGCAGTTGTTTTTAGATGGTTGTTTGTACAAATTAATCAAATAAATCATTGCCATTTTATGTGGCTTTAAAATGAAGCCTCTCTTGTGATGTTTTTATGTGGTTATTGCGCTTCCTTTTCTTCTTCACAGGCCCATCCTGTAAATGTTCCTTTGAGTTCAATGGGTTTCATTGTCAGGGCAATGTAATCCCATTCAAAGAGCCACAGATGAATGAAGGTTACAATTCCTCATTTATGTACGTCGGTATAAGCTCCATGTAACACAAGGAGATTTTCCTTTGAGTAAAGAATGGAATGGAATGGAATGGAACAAAATTATTTATTGGCCAAGTGTAATTGGATGCACAGTTTGTCTTTGGTGCATAAGCTCTCAGTGTACATACAAGCAATAAGTGATAAATCATGATCATGGTCGTCATAAAAATACATTCATCAAAATCATAAGATACAACACTTAGTGATAGTCATAGGATACTAAATAAGTAATCAACATAAATCATACTAAGATACTAAATAAACAATATAAATCATAAGATACAAGCAACAAAGTTATAGTCATAAGAAGATGAGATAGGTAACAGGAAAGATGAGAATAATAGTAATACAGCCTTACTAGATAGTTTGACAGTGTTATGGAAATTAGTTGCTTAGCAGAGTGATGGCATGGGAAGGGGGATGGACGGACGGACTGTCCTAGTGTCTAGTTTTGGTGTGCAGTGCTATATAACGTTTTGAGGGTAGACGTTGAAACAATTTATGTCCAGGATGCGAGGGGTCTGTACATATTTTCACAGCCTTCTTTTTGACTCGTGCAATATACAGGTCCTCAGTGGAAGGCAGGTTGGTAGCAATTGTTTTTTCTGCAGTTCTAATTATCTAATTATTATTATCATTATTATCCACATGCAAATAATTATTCTGCTTATTTGCATGTGGATACTCTAGAAAGGTGGAAAATACATCTATTCCACTTTGACTCCCAGGTCTTCCAGATGGCTTATGACAAAACAAATTAACAAACACAGTCCACAACAAGAAAGATACAAAATTGTAAATAACGATGAGAGGGAGGGGAAAATCAGTTGCAAAAGAGGATAGATTTTTTTCCCCTAAGGCTGGGTTTATTTTATGGAGGAAAATGTTTAAATCACCCAATACCCAAAGCTTTCTGGGTGGTTTATAATAAATACATTAAAAGATGCAATTTTTGAATACAAACATGTACAATAAAATGCAAGATAAAAACTTGAAAACTATGCAGCTGAAAGACAGTCATTCAAAAGCTAAAATAATAGTGTTTCCCCAAAAACAAGACTTCCCTGAAAATAAGCCGGAGTGCTTATATTTTCGGGGAAACAAGGTATGAATTAAAATACAAATAAAAATCAGTTAAGAAGCCAGGACAAATAGATCTTGACCTGGCAACAAAATGATGCTAATGTGAATAACAAGCCTCTCTGAGAAGGGGATTTCACAAATGAGGTGCTACCACTACACAAAAAGATTCCCCTTTGTAGAGGTCTACCTCACCTCCTTTGGTGAGAGGATCTGGAGGAAGGCCTTGTTAGACAAGCTTAAAGTTCAGGTAGGTATATACAGTATGAGGAAAGGTGTTCCTTCAGGTAATCTGGCCCTTAATTGTTCAGGGTAGATCTGGGCAGATCGGCATTTTATGGTCCATGGGCCACATCCAGCCCTTTGGCTGTCCCTGTCTGGCCCATGCTTTCATTTTGAAGGCGATTGCTATCTCTTTTTTTACATTTACGTATGTGCTTACGTATGTACATACCTTCACAGCCCTATTGATTTGGCTCTCCTCAACAGTCCCAGTTTCTCATCTGGCGCCATGGGAAAATGAATTGCCCACCCCTTTTAGGGTTTAGGGCTTTAAAGGTCAAAACTAACGCAAGTCCAGGTAGGTACATACAGTAAAGGTATTTCTTCAAGTAACTTGGTCCTAAGCCAATAGGGATTTAAAGGTCAAAACTAACACTTTGAACTGAGTTTGGAAATGGACTGACAGTCAGTATACTTGGTGAAATGTTCATATCAGCCAATCTAGCTAGTCTGTTTTGAACTAACTGAATTTTCTGGACTGTTTTCAAAGACAACCCGACATAACAACACATTGCAATAATCCAACTGGAAAATTACCAGACCATGAATAACTATTGCAAGGCTATCTCTATCCAGATAAGGTCATAGTTGGTAAATCAAGTGAAACTTGATTTAAAAAAAAACCTACTCTGTATAATCAAGGTCACACCTGGGCCTTAGTGACAGTGATGGATGTGGGAGCATCTCCCAACTTGCAAACCTGCTCCTTTAGGGTAAGCCTGGACCATTCCAGGACAGAAATACATCATCAAATAATAGTATCTATTTCTTGTCTGGTTTGAGTTTCAGTTTATTGGCCGTCCTTCAGTCTTATCACCCTGTCCAAACAGTGTCTTAGAACACTATCTGAAAAGAAGTGGTAAAGTTGGTTCTTTTAATTGATTATATGCTGCTGGTGTTGACTTCTGGAAACCAGATAGATTTTCTCCACAATGATCTGTCTTTATAGGTCTTCCAATAGTGTATTCATTGCCATTAGAGCCGTGATGGCGCAGTGATTAGAATGCAGTACTTCAGGCTACTTCTGTTGGCTGCCTACAGTTTGCAGTTCGAATCTCACCAGGCTCAAGGTTGACTCAGCCTTCCATCCTTCTGAGGTCAGTAAAATGGGGATCCAGATTGTTGGGGCAATATGCTAACTCTGTAAACTGCTTAGAGAGGACTATGGAGCACTGTGAAGTGTTATTGCTATTGCTATTAACGGAGTCCATTCACCTTGTTGTTAGTTGCTATGCTCTCTTTCCTTCTGCCTTTCCTAGCATAACAGCCTTTTGCAGACAGCTAGGTATCATTCGTGTTGATGGTACCTCAGTCCACGTTCCCAGATTACCTCTCCTAGTGGTTTCTTGTAGATATTTAAAAGCATATGAGATATAATAGAATGCTGAGGGACTCCATAAGCCAACCACCAGGAGGAAGAATAGGAATCCCCCGGCACCATCTTCTGGAAATCCAAATAAGAGTGGAGCCACTGTAACACAGGATCCTCAGATCCCGACTCTAGAAGGATACTATGGGCAGCAGTGGTATGAAAAACTGCTGAGAGGTCTAAGAGGATCAACTGGATCACAGTCCACCTTTTTCCTAGCACAGGTCATTCTGCAGGGTGACCAAGGCAGTAGAAATGAATCTAAAAAATCAGTTTCATCTGCGAGAGCCCAGAATCACTCACTCATCAGGTTAAGCTGTAGTTTGCTTAACCATGGTTTTTGAATAAACCACCAACTGCATTTTCCACAGCTTGCTGAGCCAAAAGCAATGTGTCTTTTGACTTGGCATTACAGGTGTAGTAGTCAACTTGCTTTTAAGAAAATCCTATCCTGTCTTCTTCACACCTGAAGACGTTCAGGAGCAAAGATACAGAACAAAATGTTAAGAGTTTGCAATAAAATTGCAAATGATAGACAAAGTACTGTTAAAGAGCAACATATATCAAACTAGATTCCAAGAGACTAAAGCTATGATGGCGAACCTATGGCATGTGTGCCAGAGGTGACATGCAGAGCTCTCTCTCTGGGCACTTACACCATTGCCCCAGCTCAGCCAGCTGATCGTCGGGTTTCCGATCCGTGCATGCACGCCAGCCAGCTGGTTGGCGGGTTTCTGGTGCTCTGGCACTCATGCATGCATGTGCATGCGCCTTCCAGTTTTAGGTCACTCTGTGCCTAAAAGGTTCGCCATCACTGGACTAAAGCATAGTTTACAAATGTCCCAAATCTATTAAAGTCTTACATGCACCCAGGCTAAAATGCTTTACTGGTTGCTAGGCACATGCACCCAAAGATGTTAGGTAGCTCCAGGGCCAGCTTTAAGCTATGATACTGATCTAGAGTGCTAAACCTGGGAAGCACCAATGCCAACTTTTCTTTGGGAAAAAAAAAGTTATTCTAAAAATGCAAATCTTTGAATCTCTAGGAAGCCTAAGGGCACCATATACCCTCAACAGAGTGCTGAGTGTGTGCACCATAAATGGCCCTTGCGATTAACATTTCAAAAACCCTTGACAGAAAATTCACAGCCCAAAGATGTAAACTATGGATGTGTCTAATGGAGCTTTAAGATGTTAGTCCCAAGGGCCATGTGATGGGCAAAGCTAGAGCCAGAAATGGATAGTGGAGCACCCATTCTGTGATGAGCAGAAGGAGTAACTTTGGAGATCAGGAAGAAGAAGCGCTACCCAAACAAGAGTCAGATAAAAGAAACTCGAGTCCAAGCCAGAACTGTAACCTGACAAAGCATCTAAGACTGGTGTCAGCAACCTGTGGCTCCAGAGCCGCATGCGGCTCTTTGGGCCCTCTGCTGCAGCCCCCTGTCCCATCACTGGCTGGCCCCGCCCTTCACCCTCCCCTCCCAGTCACTCCTCACCTGGCCTTGGAAATCCGAGATACAGAGAGAGGGAGGGGGAGAGGGAGTGAGAGAGACATAAATACAGAGAGAGAGAGAGAGAGAGATACAGAGAGGGGGGGGAAGAGAGCGGGGAGAGATAAAGAGATACAAAGAGAGGGGAGAGAGAGAGATACAGAGAGAGAGGGAAGAGAGAGATACAGAGAGAGGGGGAGAGAGAGATACAGAGGAGGGGAGAGAAAAGGTTTTTGTGGTTCCTGGTGTTTTTTAACAACCGGTTCTCAGCCCTAATGACCAGCTAGGTAGGCGTGGCTAGGGGGGTGTCATGTGACTGGGTGGGAGTGAGTGATGTGGAGTTGGCCACGCCCACCCAAGTTTTGTGGCTCCTGGTGTTTGTTTTTTTTCTGTGGGAAACGGGTCCAAATGGGTCTTTGAGTGTTTAAGGTTGCAGACCCCTGATCTAAGACAAGACCCTACCTAGTTCTTCAGAAGACATAGGAAAGAATGGGGGAGGGGGGAGAAACACATCCAGACTTGGCAAGATTCTGTAACTGTAACCTCATTATAAAAGCAGTATTATGTATGCTTGGTTTCCATGTTTGAACTATCCTGAAG